GACGGTGGAGGGGATTGCCAGGCCCAATGAATTGCAAATAGGGGCATTGTTGAGCCCAGGCATGTCCAGATAATTACCATAGAGGTGCAACTTCAGTATCCTGTGTATCAGGAGCCAAGACCCTTTTGATCTAATAACAAGTAGACTGGCCAATCGTAGAGAGGGGTGTGGAGTTGTAAAGAGGGTCTTGGAAACCCTCCAATCCCCAGTAGGCCTTGGGAGGCAACCAATGGGAGACTTGTCATGCATCCCTATGGACACGAGGGGTATATTAATGACTGGAAAAAACAGCTTGTCCTCTTTTCACCAGGATGGGACCTCATGTGACGATTAATGGGTAACTATACATATAATCTTTCCCCCACTTAACTGTATGTCTGTTTGTCTGTTAGATACCAATGTCTGGGTATTTGGCATGTTTAAATCTTTTCTTTGTATGTTGTAGTTAAATAGATTGTTGGTTCATTGTATTTAAGTCTTGATACTATATACCAATAAATTCTGTTATTGTGTTGAGCTCAAAAATCTCATGAATGAATCCTTAGAATCTCAAACCTGTAAGTGTGAATGCTTATATAGCGGTTCATAACTTAAAATAGTAATTCAGGTAACAACAATCAACTGTAACATAATAGCCACCACAAGAGAAAATTGGAAAGAGACAAGCGAAGTCACATAAAGAGCGTTGTGTGGCAACATCCTACAAGTATTCTCTTTTTTGTGCTTGTTTCTCACAGCGTTCATTTCAGATGCACTGCCCTATGCCTTCTCTTTATATATACTTATACTCACAGTCAGATGGAACCAACATGTCATGGGTTCATAAAAGAAACCTGAAGAACATGAAAAGATATAGCTGGAAATCTGATCTGTTTTTGGGTCCTTATCATTTGAAAGATTATAAAATGTTGTCCGCTCCAAAATTCAGCACAAATATGTGGTTCAAATAGGGTGAAACTTTATGAGTCTCATTTTCTCTGATAGGAGGTATCATCTTAAAGGACAAGTTGCACATTTCCAGATTAGGCTACATGTCGTTGATTTTTTTTTTTCTATTTATGTTTTCAATACATGAATACAATTATGATATAAAAACATTGTCCTGTGTACATCCAATGCTAATTAAAAATGCACCAAAAGAAAGCTGAAAAATATAACTTCCACAATCTTAGGTACCCATTAGTGTTTAGTAAAGTGATAATGAAACATATTACATTGTATGACTTTTGCCAACCACTGCAGACATACTGAGGTTTAGTATATAAAAGTAAAGCTGAACTCATGTCAATTCATCCAATTATATGCAAATCATGTTTTGTTTTTCTTTTCAAAGAGAACACCACTTATTTACAAAGCTGGGGGAACATTCATTTCACAAAGAGAACATTCTCGTTTCTTTTTAGTGAATCAGACATATTGCCTCTAGTCTGTGCAAATACATCTAAAATCATATGAAAGTAAACATAGGGGTCTATTCACAAAGCCATAGCTTCGGCCGATCCTTTGGCTAGCTTCGACCCCAGGACCCCTTTAGTTCAGTAGAACCGAAGGGGTGCTGTACGGGCTATTCACTATAGCCCGTACAGCTCCCGAACGTGGCCCAGCGGCTCAGTCGAGCCGAACGCATATGCCTCGGCTCGGCTAAGCTGCGCTGAATGGCGAAGTTGGCCGGCCGACAGCCTGTTTCTAACAGCTGGGCGGAGCCAGCCGTGATCTTACGGCTGGCTCCGGCCACTTGCAGATAGATCAGCGTCACTGGTTACCTGCTAACCAGGGACACTGATCTCCAAACAGCAAACTCTCCCTGGTGCTCAGGGAGTCTCCCGCTCCCGGCCGCCAAGGAGAGAAACACTGCTGTTTTCTTTTTTTTTTATTCTGACACGGAGCCGTGTCAGAATAGAAAAAAAAAATGTTTGCCCATTGGAATGCATTGCTAGATTCCTATTGGCTATTTCAATTTGCAATAGCCAATTTCCGGGAGTCTCCCGCTCCCGACCCCCAAGGAGAGAAACAATGGGTTTTCTTTTTTTTTTATTCTGACACGGAGCCGTGTCAGAATAGAAAAAAAAAATGTTTGCCCATTGGAATGCATTGCTAGATTCCTGTTGGCTATTTCAATTTGCAATAGCCAATAGTAAACTAGCATTGTACCCGCCCTCTGCTGTAGTGCTCCATCAGGTCCATCAGCAGAGGGCGAGTACAATGCTAGTTTACCATTGGCTATTGCAAATTGAAATAGCCAATAGGAATCTAGCAATGCATTCCAATGGGCAAAACTGTTTTTTTTTTTTCTGACACGGCTCTGTGTAAGAATAAAGAAAAAAAGAAAGAAAAAGCAGTTTTTCTCTCCTGGGCGGCTGGGAGCGGGAGTCTCCCAGAGCACCCGGGAGAGTTTATTTATTTATTTTTGACGGCAGCAGAACCGCCGGACAATAGAAAACTGTTGGGCGGAGCTAGCTGTCATTGCTAGCTCCGCACAATCATTTTCTATTTACCTTTTTTTAACTATTTTATAGGGCTGTGGAAATTAAAGATTAATTTCTCGATTAATTGTTAAACTTTTTGATCGATTAAAATTATTTTGATCGCTAATGAAAACCCTCACCTCTCCACCGGCTTCCGGGAGTCCCGTCGGCGATCCAGTGACGTCGCGGACATCAACGTCACCGGACTCCTCCCCCCCCTTCCCCAAGTGGCTCCGTTGGCTAACGAAGGGAAGGGGGGAGGAGTCCGGGGACGTCGATGTC